TGTGTGTGTGTGTATGTATGTGTGTTTGCTTGTTCGTTTGTTTAGATAGGTAGATAGAGAGATAGAGAGATGATAGATAGATAGATACATAGCTAGATAGATAGATAAGAGAAAGATAAGTCGCATGCGGCTGTCCTTCAGCTGCCGGCGGCGAAGTTCGAAAACGCTGCCGGGTCGAGACTTCCTCCACGATGTTACGTTTTACTCAGCGACAGACCAAGCTGAGAGTTGTTTCACGGCGCGCAGCTTTCCTCCAGGATGGATGGATTGCATCATTTTGCACAGCTATTGGTGGCAGCTCTGCTTTGCTGCGTCGCACTCGAATGACACGTGGCGTTTCTTCAGCTTGGCCACGCACATAAATGCCCTCCTCGGCCCGTGGTTTGGCCTATCCGTCCACTGCTGGAGCCCGGCTCTTCATATGCGAAGCCGCAGTCACGATCGCGAGCGTTTGCCGGAGTATCTGCGTGTCACAACGCAGGCTCAGCCGGATTGTGCCGGGGCGATGCATCACGGCACCAATGTCCGCGGGGTTGCCAGCTTTGAGCCACGCTGATGTGGCACGGGGCGTTTACGAAATAGGATGCCTAAAAGATCACAGCAAGTACGACACCTGACCCGAATGGCTCAATATTACATGACAATGTTGAACGAAGCGCAAATCAGTCGGAGTGTCGAGACGCAAATTCGGTGGAAGCGGCAGAGTCTGAGTGAGCGCCGGAAGCTTGACCGCAACATGCAATAAAGATGAAGAGAACAACGAAGAAGGAGACAAGCCCGCAACAAGCAGAGATGCAAGCCAGAGCGATCCATTTGAGCCTGTAAAGAGTTGAAGTCACGTGTTCGTAAAACCCGAAATTCAAGTTCGTGAGCTCGATGTCCGAGGGCTTAGCCGCCGCACTTCTGAGCGGCTGCGAAGCAAGATCCTGGCCCTGCCTCGTGGCTCTGGCGCTGCAGGACGTCTTGATAACTTGATAGCCATCTCATGTCTTCCGTACTCCTGTTGTACTTACGATTTGCTGATTCGCGCTTTTGTGCAAAGGGATATGACACGATGCAGTCTTTGATTGTTTGTTGCTTTCAGTGTCGGTCTCATGATTAGTTTCAGTACGCGGAGGTAGTTCAAAGATTCGCGATCTGCAAAGGACGGTGCTCATATGTCAGAAGGCTGCCTTCTTGCTTACGAGGCCTTGTGCTGCTAGATTCTGTCTGCCGCCTGCAGCAGGATTCTGGCATCAGAATGCAGTGCCGGATCTGCAAGTCTCGTGGGTGGCTCCTGTGTCAGGCTTTGGTGCCTCTGCTCATCGAGCTTCAGGCATCGGCTGAAAGCGGACTGATTCTCAAAGAAGTTGCTTTCGGCATGAAGTGAGCAGGTGATCAGCTCTTGGCAGAGACCGCATCTCTGGCTTGTTACCGGAGAGAGAGAAACCCAGGTTCTGGATCCTTAGTACTCGGTAGCAGCATTCTGGACTGCTGCTGAACTACTTTTACTAGCCTCACGCCACAGGGGGTGGGTGGTGGAGGTGCCTGACCGAATGCCGGGACAGGGGGCCATATTCAAAGGGGAAGAGGGCTACCATACATTCGAGCTTCACCGGGGAGATGCTGCGCGTGTAGGCGCCAAAGGGACCCCCCGCCAGGGAGGAAGAAGAAGTTTGTCCAGTAGTCAGACGAAGAAGGGATAGAGGTCCGCAGACTCAGTTCCTTGATGCAGCGGCAGGCGATATCGCGAAGCAGTGCAGAAGGTGCTGGGGCAAACTCTTCATGCTGACATGAACGGGGATTACTTGGTCACAAGACGAGGGCGCACACATTCTTCGGCTGCAGGTCATCCCGCCAACCTCGATGTCGATCTACGCGTGATATCTGGGTTGATCTGGGTGTTTGCGCTTTCACGCAAAGGAAGCAGCGACATGGTGATGAGTGCCTGTCTGGTTTGTGCGAGAAACGACAGCTATTTGCGCAACGGTCTGTCTGTTCGAACCTGTCGCATGTGGCTCAATCCGGAAGGTAGTGAAGGCCTCTAGCGAGGTCACAAGCACATGGTTTACAGCTGTCATGCTTGAGCATGAGACCATCTGATGTACTGCAGCTGGATCAAGTTGGGCATCAGGAACAACAGCTCGCAAATGCAGTTTCAGCAGGACACGCTGCAAGTACCTGATTTGCCAGAAGACATGGCCGAGGAAGTTAAGCAATATTTGCCCGAGGCTTTTGCTTGTGCACGTGCCGTTACTGTATCTGATTGAACAGGGCATTGCACATCACAACCTGAGGCACCGCTATAACACATCTGGCAAGCGGCAGCGGGACCTGACAGAGGACAGGTGCAGCTCTCGCAATTGACCTTGTTGCTAGGAGGTCGACAGGAGCCATGGCATGTCATGTCGTGCCATTGGGTTGATACCGGGAGCTTGCATCAAGGAACAAAAACAGGAGCTGAAGGAGGTCTTTGACTTGTGAGCCATGTGTTGAACTTGATTGCACGTGAAGGCTCTAGAATGCCGCATCCGAACGGGAGGTATGACACAGACGGCTCGGCCGCCATCGACAACAGCGAACTCAAGGCAGCCCACCAGCCATCAGCTTTCACCCCAGAGCTGGGTTCACACTTTTGGGGCCTGAGTTTCTGCATAAGCAGATACTCTCAGCCCCCGGATGGTGTGCGGGAAACCACGAAGCCCAGCCCTTCTCCTCGAATCCTGTCCTCTGTCACTATCCAGAGTATCACGACGAGACATGCAGATTGAGCAAAAGCGTTTGAGTGCATTCGAGTTCTGAGCCAAGCGGCTGTTCTTGCAGGGGCTCATGCAAGTTCTGGGTTTCTCCTCCACCTCGAGGGAGGACTGCCTGGAGCTCGGGGAACGAAGCCTGTAATTCAAGCCTATTTCGGTTTTGAGGAGCTTGTGGCCATGATGATGTCAGTGGACAAGGCTGTTTGCCCGTGTAGCTGGTCGAATGCGAAGTCATGAAAGTAGTGAGCTGCTAGTCAGGATGGGTCTGGCGAAATTGAGCTGGATGAGTTCTTGCAGATGATGGCGCCAAAAGTGTTGCGGGCACCCCAAATTCTACCAGGCATGTGCATCAAGAGCGCAATCTACAGCCCAGCTGGCAAGAAAGGGCGCGGGAGCCCACGGCAGTCATCAGAAAGGCCGGATTGCAAACAACAATCCGATCGTCTGCAAGCCTGCCTTACCGTCCAGCCATCCAGATGAAGCTTGTGCTGCATCCCCGTCTCAGGCTTTTCCTCTCTTCGTGTCTGAAGGGACCGAGTGCAATGTTAGTTTTGCGTTGTCGTGGTCTGCTGGTGCATACACGCGGAGGAGTGAGACCATCACCTGGCACAGCCTTAGGCATCCTGGCCGCACAGGGCGGTGTTGGCGGGATTCCGGCGTTTCAGCGAGTTCGATGCTTCTAGGGCTCTGGCAGACGACCTGGGCCTCACTTTTGCCGACCACGAGATTCAAGAGATGCTGGAAGACGAGGGGGACTTAGCTCTTCACGGGGCGTTGCAGTGCATGGCAGGGTCTAGCTGGAGGCTGATGACAACGATGACGGCTGCCTGGATGAAGACGAGTTTGTGCACGCCGTGCGAAGAGCCAAGTTCTTTTGATCGGCTCTGACCACCGGATGGCCCGGCTCGTCCCTCAGCCGGCTGAGCCGGCTCGGCCCGCCTCTACCTCGGCTTCCGAAAGAAGGAAGCGTTTCACCTCATCCTCGGCGGTCGCCCGAAGAAAAGACCCATCAGAGGTCAGCCGCCGAGGCAAGGCCTAGGTTCTAGTTCGATCACCGCAGCTGCAAACGCAAGGACGACATGAATGCTGACTAGCTTAGCTCGCGCTCCACCTTCAGCCGTTTGGCTTCTGAAAAGTGTGCCGCTTTTTGTAGTGATCGACGGCTCGTCCTATGGCGAAGCGTGTAGTGGGAGCTCGTCGCAGCCTGGTCTGCCTTGCAGTGCTCTACCAGCTGGGTCTGCTGGCCTGGGACTTCACGGGTGGCGTGAGCCGTGTCGTGAGAAGAGCCCAGCCTGAAGCAAAGACAAATGTCTTGGCGAAAGACCCGCCGGTCGCCGAGGAACTGAAGCTGTCGAACTCAACAGAAGGAGCTCTCGAGACAGAGCTGAAACAGGATTTCGGAGCAGAAGAAAGCAAGGAGTCCAGAGCAGCTCGCAAGACCGCTGAAACCAAGGAGCGTGTAGCGGAGAAGAAGCGAAGGCTTGAAAGCGCACAGGGATCGGAAGACTCGATGATTGACTGGGCCGAATATGCCAAGCAAGCTCGAGAAATGGCTGCAGAAGCTGCGAAGGATGCGGCGAAACCTGGCAAGGAAAGCGCAGCCGCACGTGCCAAAGAGTTGGCTTTGGGCTTTGTAGCCTCCGGCTTGGACTCTGCAGCCGAAGCTCCGATCCTGGTTCCAGCCTCTGCTGCTGCCTTGGTGGTGGTGCTTGCTGCCTTGACGTTTGGGCGTCCCGCTCCCCAGCCCCGTCCGGCCCCGGTGCGTCAGGCAGCTCCTGTGGTGCTCCAGTCAACAGCCCAGCCCAGCCAGTCCAGCCAGAAGGCAGAAACCCCTGCTGCCGCGCCAGCGCGGCCGGTGACACCCGCTCCAGCACCTGCACCTGCTCCGCCTGCAAAGCCGGACTTGCCCTGGGCACGCAACCTGGCCAAGTCTGCCAGAGACACGCTGAAATCTGTGGCTGAGGACGGCTTTGCGATGGGTTTGTAACTGCTCACTTTCCGTTTCGTGTTTCATGCGTGGATTTCCGCTATTGCCACCATAGCTGCATAGACTGAACATGGTGCCATCATGCAGAATCCAAGCTCGAGGTGAAGGAGTCGAGACATGGCTCCGCCTGTCGCTAACTAGACATTACCATGTGTGGATTGTGCCTGGCCCGTGGGTGGGGCAAAGGGTTGTGACAATTTCACAGAGTGGCAGCAGATGGGAAGGGAAGGGTGAACCTGCCATATTTTCTGAAAGGAAGCTAGCAGCACCGAGCCGGTGGCAATCTTAGTGCAGTCTTATACGGATTCTCCTTCCAAGGAGCCAAGACAGTGTATCAATGGAAGTCCAGATCCTCAATGGTAACATTGGAAATAGGTCCATGCACAAGTCAAGAAGCGGCGGCTTGCGAAAGATTCTATCGGCTTCGGCATCAAACGGGATAAGCGGCCGGTGAGGAGGACAGTCTTTTCGTCGAACTGCTGTCGAGAAATGGTGACGGCGAACGGGGAAGCAAAGGCTTCATTACGACTGCACATCTCATCGAATTGTTCTTCAGCGCCACAGTTCACGTCGTGTTCTGTTATGGAGGGAGGTCTCTGGGGAGATTCGACCATGGTGTCTTCCTTTCGCCCTGGGCGCAAGAAACGCGAAGAAACGTGTCCAAGTGATTCGGAGAACGAAAGACAAGGGAGATGACGGCAACAGCGAAGCCTTCAAGACGTCCGACATCGCTCGTTAGGAAGTATCTACTTGTAGTAGTACCGTATTGAATGCCAAAAGGTTAAGAACCTTCGAAGTTTCTAGCCTTGAGGAGCTCCCCGCTGCTGAGTCCTTGGTGGAAGAAGAGCTGCCGGTGGCTGAATCTGCCTTCAATTGGGTGTCAAGCATTACACCGGAGAATGCCCCCGAGAAGATCGAGAAGGATGCTCTGCCCGCAGCAGCGCGCTTCGCGGGAGAGGTCCTCAAAGCGGGGCTTCGGGCCGGCTCAGTGGGCTTGGATTTCGCATCGCAGAACTTGCCGGCGGCAGAGGAGGCTTTGGGCAAGGCAGTCGAAAAGGGTTTGCCGGTGGCACAGTCCGTGCTGCGCGACGCAGCTTCAGGAGCTCGAAGTTTGGCCACAGAGGGACTTCCAGGCTCTGAGACACCACCTTCGAATTCTGTTCTTCGAGCACTGGTGGAAGCTGCGCCGGGGGTGCTGTCAAACACTGCCAAGGTGCTGGATGCCACAGCTGACGCAGCTCCACAGGTGACATCAGGCGTTGGGCAAGCCGTGTCAATGGTGACTCCGATTGCACAGGCTACACTGGGTGTTGCATCAGACCTCGCCGAAGGGGTTTCCAACATCCCTGGATCAGCAGTTGAACAGGCTGCCGGCAAGTTAGCCGACACGGTGAAGTCTTCCATACCTCCAGATGCCGCATCCAATGCAAAGCAGTTGGTCGAGAAGGCAGCTTCCGCTGTCATGACGCCGACGAAGTGATTGACTGACGGCGTCTTGTATCGTGTCAGCAGGTTCGTTGTAGAAAAAGATGCAGATTAGCATCCATGGTCCTGTCAGAATGCAGCAGCGTGCAGCAGAGTATGGTAGGTCCCTCATTCTGGCAGGCTGTGCTTTTCAACAGGCCGTCCATGTAGCTAGGGCGTCTTGATCTTCGCTGCCCCGTCCATTTTCCTCATCGGTAGCGACGACTGGCCACAGACGTGAACAAAGGAGTCCAAGGGAAAAAAGCAGCCGTTGGACACTGGCCTTTGCATTTGTGCCGCTCTGTGCATCTCCACGATGAGCAGCGCAGCTTGGGAAAGTGCGATTCAATCTTGCACCGCATCCCGTAGCCTGACGAGCTTTCCTGGGATGAGCAACGCCTGCAGCTCCAGAGAACTGGACTTAGAGCGGGTTCGATCGTCCAGACGGCAGGGAGACGCAAGTTTCACGCAGCTAGTCTAGGACCTCTAGCCTTTGGGTCTCAAGCTAATGCGAGCTAGTCGATCACAGGCATAGCATGGGCTTGAGCACAGGATGCTGCCATGGCTTGCTGTTCTGCTGCCTTTGTGCCTGCTTGGCAAAAAGCAGCTGCCTGTCACTCTGACAGCTGGGAATCCTGATGGCAGGAAGGGCGAGAAGGACCGTGTGTACCAACCGTGTACCACTTTGCAGGTCTAGCGTATGCTCATGCACTGACTCTCGTTGACCACCCTGGCACGCAACAACAAGCCGTTTTAAATGTTGGACCCTGCTCTGTGATTGACTACCTCCAGCAGCTGCGGAGCTGCACCCGGAAAGATCCCAGTATACTCCAGTAGCAAGAACCTACTTCAAGGGTTTTCGGGCCTCAGAACCTCTCCCGTCCTTCCTCTTGCAACTTGCCCGCGTGGTCGTCGGTGGTGACCAAGAGTTGATCATTCTAGCTGGAGGAGTGCATGTTCAATCTGAGGCTTGGCCACTCTTGAAACTTGCCGAACTTCCGAAAGGTACATAAGCCTCCCCTCAATCGAAACCCTTGTTGAAAAGGGCCCGCATCTCTGAAAGGCCCCATGCGCAGCAGTGCGTGTCGCCCTCACGGGCAGCCCTGAACCCGGAGGCGAGCCCAACATCCAAAGAAGACGGGGGGGTGGAAACAAACTTTGAAGTTCCAGCTAGAGTTAGGAGTGGGCGAGCCCCTAGTCCTTCACTGGGAAGCGACACATCCTGCACGGACTTGACAGTGGGAAACAGGAGCGGAGCATCAGGCATGACAAGGAAAAGCAAATTCTGCGGGATGGCCGAGCCTGAGACGAGAAGATTGGGGCGGGGTGCGCGTGGTGGGTGCTTGCAACGTGTGCCCAACAGAAGCAGGAATAGTGACGAGCCCTACATGCGGACAGGCCGCCGCCCCTGTGCTAAACGATGCTCAAGGGGTTGCAGCGAATCCTAGAGGAAAAGAATGGGGAGATTGAGCATGAGCCCCTGCGGGAAATGGCAAGGCCCACCGAAAGCGCTCCAAGATGCTCGCTTACAGCCAGAGCAGTCTGAGACGTTCGGCAAGCAACAGCCCCTCCTGCCTTGTCTTGTCCTACGCTCCCTATCATCTGCATCTCTTCCCCCTCCCGGGTGTGAGGCTGCTATTGTAGTCCGCTCGACCTTTCTACGGGAAGAGGCATTCCTGGAGACCATCAACGGTACCAAGTCCGTCGTGGTGAGCTTCACGTCGCCAAGGCCTCTGTCCGACAGGTCAGAGACAGGTCATAAAACTGGATGATCTGATTTTGTGGTATCCGCTTATCGCCATCTCGTGACTTGTCGACCGAGGCTGCGCACATCTTGCAAGCCCTGTTCGGAGCTCCAGCCGGAATTCAAGAAGGTTTCGGATGCATTGCTCAGTTGACACAGTCTGGAATGGCGCACACGGAAGGCGGCAAAGAAGCTGAAGAAGAAAGGCTTCCTGTGTGGAGTCGTGGACACAGACCTAGCTGTGAACGTGAACCTCAAGGATGTCCACAACGTGACCAGTCCTCTGGAAGCATGGTGAGCAATATTCATCCATATTCCTTTGACCAGGCACATCTCAACTGCTTTTGCTTGCAGGTATTCCGAGCATGCACCTTTTCCGCAAAGGGCTTGCCCTCTCCAAGCTCGAAGGATTCCAGTCTTCTTCCAGCATTGAGCAGTGGGTGGCTTGGAGATGACAAGAGGCGGTTGCTCTGAGACGCTCCGAGCGGTCGGCGTGCGAAGCGACGAGGTGACTGCGGTGAACATTCCACAAGTGGAGGTTTTCGCAGCTTTGCTGAAAATTACTCGTAGAAGCAAGCATACCTTCAAGAAGCTGGGCAGCCGGGCTGCCTGAACGGAGACAGAGAATTCGTTTTGGATGTGCTCGTCGTCCTCCTCTTCGCCGCAGTTGTGGTGCTTTTGGCTGTGCCAGGGGCAGTGGTTTGGTTTAGGTTTTGGTACTGTCGTGCCTTTTTTCCGGAAGCTGTGATCTTGAGTTGTGGTTGTGTAGTCTCATGGTTGTGGTCATGCAGTCATTGTGGGGTAGTTGGTTCTGTTGTTTGGGCTATGGTTGTGCTTGTGCTCGCGCTTCTCCTCGGCATTATGGTCGCGGAAGGGTCGCTGTTATGATTGTTGCTGTTGCTGGTGGTAGGGATGATGGTGGTCGTTGTTGGTCTTCGAGGTCGCTGCTGTGGCCATGGCCGTCCTTCTCCTACGTGGTCCTCCTTGTTTTTTTTTTTCATGGCTTCGGTCGTCGTCTTCTTCGTTGTTAGTCCTATTCCAGCCTTAGTCTGAGTATCAGCTGAGGAGACACAGGCTTCGTTCGACAAAGCCGTCCGTAGCAGGAAGTGGACCGAAACCATGTTTGCAGCCACCGGTGGACCGATGCTGCAGGACTTTCGGTCTGCTTCCAACTTCGGGCCGCGAGTAGCCGCGTAACCTGTGATTGTGGTAATGCACCCAGGACTTGATGGATTCCGCAGCAGTAAAGGGCAGCGATGGCTGGGCCAGCAGGCCAGCTGCAGCTTGCTCTGCACTGCTGTAGCAGGGAGGACCCCCGCAAGTATCTCAAGTGCAGGATGAGATTCCTATTCTGGTCGGATGGGGGAAGAGGAAGGCCGGATTCGGCAGAAGGGCATCAGACTGCTTTTGATTGTGCTCGTTCCAGCTTCGGAACCAGGCCCTTCGGTGCGGTGTATCGCGGAGTGAATGAGATGGAACCCGCTTGGATGCACCGAGAGTCACAGTTTTCCGAGAAAGCAGCGAGTAGCTTCGACATCGTGCAGGAGCACTTCGACGCTTCCGGGCAAGTAAGCACGGAAATGCTCGAGGAGTTCTTGAAGAATGAGCATTTGTCTGACCCTCGGGATTCCGACTGGTGACCAGTGACACAGGATTCACTCATGCATCTGTCGTGGAGTGGTGTGCAGGCCGTTGTTTGGGAAGGCCTTGGACTTGGCTTTCATGATCGTTCGGTGCTTTAGCGTTCCACACTTGTCGACTGAGTCAGATCTTTGCATGCACAGGCGACGATGGACGACCTCGCGAGTGTCTTTGGCAAAGGTTCCAAGGCCTGACCACTTGCTGAACTGCGCATGCACGCGCGCGCACGCACGCACACATGCACTCTCTCTCTCTCCCTCTCTCTCTCTCACTCTCACACACACATACCCTCCTAGCTTTCACTTTGTTAAGGGCAATGTCTTCGTGTGCTTTGACCCAGAAGCCTTCGAGACCCAGGCGAAGAAGTGCGCCATCGTTTTCCAAGCCAGGCAGATTTTCGACTAGTCACCAGTCTGCCTCGACAGGTATGCTCGCGCATTTCAGAAAGTTGCCAAGAAGTGGAAATCCTACGGGTTTGTCTTCTTCAACGTGCGTGATCCTGTAGCCAAGCTTCTGCAGATGGACTGCAAGGAAGCTGAAGTGCGTAAACGCGAGGCCTCGTGACCTGCCACTGTGTTGCCATGTCTCGGAGGAATTCCCGTTCGTCACGCTCAAACTTTTGGCGAAGCCTTTCAGAACCTTCACCAAGTCTTTCGCAAAAGAAGAGCCAACGGAGAAAGTCCTTGCCCAGTTCCGGTCTGAGATGCATCTGCAGATGCAAACCATCCATGCAGAACATGCACCTCAGGTTCATGAAGGAATCGATTGAATCGAACCGGCAGGCCTCTTCTGAGCTTTGAGAATGTCAGGAGAAAAGCATTGCGACTCTTGGAGCAACAGTTGGCTGCGTAACAACATCGCGTCATGGCACTGTGTGCCCGCCGCAGGTCAGCACATGTTGCAATTGTAGCTGTCCGACATTGCACTTGCACATCAGAAGGTTTGCCTACGAGCACGTGGCATACCTACGACATATTTTGGCCTGTGGAATGCACTTGCGCAGTCAGATCGTCTTCAGCCCGAGCCATGATTGATGCCGTGGCTCAATGATGCTCTTGGCAAAGTCCGCGAGTCGGGACCTCATGGAACGGGTCGAGTAGCAAATCAACCGCTCGATGCCTTAGATCTTCGGTCACGCCTCTTAGAGGCAAGGGGTGGCTGGGCCTCAGGCAGAGCAGTTCGCTGGTCGCCACAGCGAAGGAGCAGGCCTCCACATGGCGGGAGCACCCGCGATCCCCAGGCGGCGTTGCCGTTGCCTCATGCCAGGTGAAGCAGCGGATTCTCGGCTCTGACGGGGATGAACAGCTCGAGGCGCAAGCGCCGCAGCCCTGGACAAAATCCTGCGGCCTCCCGCGGCCATCCCGCGGCCTTGAGCCGAGGCGAGCAGCTGCTGGAGGTGCCGTCGGTGCCGTGGATCAGCTCTGCCAGGTTTCAGACCACTGCCTTGCGGATTTGCTCAAAGACAGCAAAGAGCCAGGCATGGTGTCGTCAACTGGGCACTGCGAGCCTCTCAAGCGATGTCGGCTTGGCGAGAGATGTGTCATACTGGCTAGTTAAGTACGCCGCAAAGCAGCCGTCGGCAGCCGTTTAGGCACGCAGCGAGTGTCGACTTCTCTCCATGCCGTGGCAGGTTTTGGCAATCCCTGCTCCGATGCCACGCCGTGGATCCCTCAGCATGCTACTTGGACATAGCTCGCGCCGAACACCTCCAATGCCAGGCTGAAGAGCTGCTGAAGAGCGTCGGCCAGCAAACTGGTGATCAACTTAGTGTTCGGCCACACGTGGAGGGTTTTTTTGTAAGTGTTGCGCTGCTGGGATGCTCTGTGAGGTAGCCAGCAAACCGGGGTGCCAGACAGCAGATCCGTTCGCCTTCTGGTGGCTCGAGCCAAGCTGCTCAGAGCGCCGCGACAGTTAGATCGCAAATCCGGCCAGTGATTAAGGTCCTCCCAGACGATCATGCGGCACTGGGCCAAGAACTCGTCACCTTACTCTCAGGCGCGCTAGGCCTAGCGGTGCTCAAAGGCTGGGCCTCGCTTGCATCTTTGGCCCCTGTGTGCAGGTGAGCGCGGTGACCTGAGCACCGAGCAGCACAGCAACTTCGCGGCAAAGTTGCTCTCCGCCGGGAAGGCGCGCAACGCGTCGCCGTAGGAAGTCCAAAGCCTCCTTGCCCTTTATGGCTGCGGAGGTTGACTGGCGGACAGAGGCAGGGAGCACCAAGGAAGCACGGGAGCGCACCTTTCTGCTCGCATGCTGGTTTGCGCACGAGAGGCGGACTTCGCCCAGCGATCTGAGCTGAACAGGATGGCCGAGCAACGAACGAAGGCTTGGTGACGCAGAGCTTCGCTCAAGTCTCGAAGCCAAGCCAGCAGTCAGGAGTTGCAGCAATTGGGGTCTGCCCCGAGCGACCTGGACAGGTCTCAGCGATCCGCACCCACGGGCGCTAGTAGCCTCGCATGCCGCCAGGTCCACCAGACGTGTTCGTGCATCTGCAGAACTCTTGGGTGTGCCTCTGCAACTGCGTGAGCTGTGCTTCCAGCATCGAAACGTGGAAGATGCTCTGCAGGTCTGTGCGACGTGGACGGCTTACAAACAGTTTCTTCGGACAGACTGTTTGTGTGCAGTTGTTCCCTCCTGTCCAACAACCTGTTGCGGGCAAGCTCCAACATCACACATCTCCTGGAGAAAGGAACACAAACAGAGATCTGTTCAGTCCTAAGCATACCAGCTCATCGGATCCGGCTTCTGACATCAGCCGCGAAAGCGCTACTTCTTGCCAGATCTGAGCAGACTTGACCACGCGGTTGGTGAACAATCTTGAACAATTCCCAGCCCCAGCCAAGTCTGAGAGAGGCACCTGTGCGATGTTCGTGGAAGTGAAATGATGAGGTACAGCTGAGCGGTTGGAGCCCAGTCTACTCTCCAACATGCAGCTACAGTTCAGTCGACAGCGAAGCAATGCGAAACACCATTCTCTCAGCATGCTGTTCCTCGACAATGAAATAGGCCCTCCGTCGGTGTTTTTTCCAAAAGCAGCATGTCACGAAAGCTGGCGCACCAGCTCTTTCGGTTCTGTCTCCGCCAGGAGTGCAGTCGACCCCACTAGGCATGAAGCAGAGCACCCGAGGTGGACTCGACGGGTTCAAAAGGGCCGGGCAGGTTACTTATCGGCACTCCCCGCTGCTCCAGCGTCGAGAAAGATTCGTGTCGCTTCCACCCGAAGATCTCCGTATCTTCCCATGCCACATACAACAGCCTCTCGCACATCCTGCTCGAAAACTCCGGAAATCGAAAAAGGATCTCTCCCCTGTGCTTCCAGGCGATCCACCAATCTCTGCTGGAGGCATCGGACCCATTGAGCGTGTCACTTCGTTTTGAAAGCGGAACGCCCGCGTTTCGCCTGCAAAGGCACAATCCCAGGTCGCGGCGAGTGCACAGGCATGCTGGGGGGCGGAGTGGGGTGGGAGCTCTATGTGACAAATCTGCAGCATGTATGCCAATCTGCATTCAGGGTGGCACAGTGTCTCGCAATTCAGCTTCTTCGGTGTTCTGTCTATGCAGGAACGTAGCCAGCAGCTTCAGAGCATCTTGCATGACATCGAGGCCCGCGGGCTGTCGATGGTTTTTTTGGTGCGGCTGTGGTGCAGAGATGTTGAGTCAGCCTATGTCAGCCGACCATGGGAGGACCCAGCTGCCATGTACTGCTCGAGGTCTCAGGTCTAGGTTTGCTCGGTTTCAGAGGCAAAGGAGACCGGCGAGAAAGAAGAGAGACTCCGAACACATTGACGTGGTTTTGCGACGGATACGGGACGCTTCGAGCAAGGCCCGTTGGGCAGTTTCGGTTCGGTGTGCACTGGGGGCGTACACACCGAGCCCGACTGGGCCACAGCGGCTGGAATACTCAGAATGTCGCCAGTTTGCAGGTATACCGGGTAGGCTCTACCCGTGCATGGAACACCGCACGCAACAGCTGTCGTTGCCTTCTCATCGCTCGGCTCGGCCAAAGGTGGCAACTCGCCCGTGCTCTGCGGAGGCGTGGGTCCTTCTGGTCGGCCTAGTTTCGGCTGTGGGTCAGGGAGGACCGCACTGTGAGAGAGCAGTCGCAAGAAGCTCGAGCAGCCTCTTACAAGTGCATGTCCAAAGGCTAATTCAATCCACGAACGCTCGACTAGTCACGGCTTCTGTATGCAAAGCCAACTAGTGGCCTGTATGTTCAGGTGGCAGGGGCTAAAGAGTGGCAGTGGGCGAGGAGCACGAGAACTCGGCCAGGTTACTGAGTCCATTGAAGAGGGATCGGAAAAGAGGAGACCAGGCAGCGGTACAGCACCGCCGTGCTCGGGGAGTGCCCATTCCTATGTTCCCGATGAGGATGATGACTCGCCATGCCATTCTGTACAGTTCTTGCCTGTAGCTATCTACCAGTAGCCATCAAACTGGCTGTTTAGCTTCCGGCATGTCTGTGCAGCAAAGACGTGGGACTTCACGGTGATGTCAGTGCAGTCGCTGCCAACCATGCAGCTTGTGCAATAGATGACCTTCCAACCAAAAACACAACCAAAGATATCACTCTCCCAATTAGCCGGTTACCATGATTGGTACAGCGTCCGAAGTAGTAACACCCAGTGTGGCAAGTGAAAGTATGTAACAGCCTAAAACTAAAACCACTTTGATGCAGTCTACCTTCTTCGATCTTCCTCACAGGTCTACGCCAGCTCCTTCAGCCAAGGAGAAGGTGCTCAGCGGGAGTGCATTGTGAAAGTCTGTCTAAACTCAGCCCGTCGCCCCGCGCCTTTTGTGAATGCCCGCAGAGTTGAACAGGTGTTGGGCAACGGCAGCAGCGATTGCAGCAAGAACTTCGGGAGGCACACGATTCTCTTGCCAAAGACCTCGCCGTGGTCGATGAGAAGCGGGCAAGTTCAGATGCACAGATTGAGTCTCTGGAGACCAAGAAGCTACAACTTCGACAGCAGCTGCACGCCGTCGACGAAAAGCTCCATGCTGCGCGTGAAGGACAGCGGAGTTGGCTTGCGCAAAAAGATCGTCATCGCCGAGCTGTCGAAGACGTGGAAGCCACTTTTCGCAAGAACCTCAAGGAGATCGAGGAGTGCCGGCGCAGGGACGGGAGGAGGGAGTGTGTTCTCTTCTCTTCGCTCCCTCGTCTCGGTTGTAAGAACTAGCGATTGTGCTTCCTTGAGTGAGGAGCAAGGCCTAGCTGCCAGGAAGGAGCGGGCAGCTGCAGAGAAGGCCTGGTTGCTGCACTTGTTGCGCAACACATGTTCAACCGTGAAAGGTGAAAGAAGCTGCTGCTGAGACAGAGGTGCTAGCAGTTCGGGCTCTGTCTGGGGCTTCCGAGGATCTCAGCTCCAAGGCAGCGCAGTTTGACAGCCACTTGCTGAATGTTTTGCTGGAGCATCTAGGACTTGAGGAGAGACGCATTCAGCTGCTCGACCACGAGTCGAACCGATGCGCAGAGATCATGAAGAAGCACCAAGCTGAAATCGATCTGATGAGTGTCATGGACCGTCCGCTGAACAGCGTGCTGGATGCTGCAGAGCATAGGCACTTGTGCCAAACCTCCCTCGCAGCAGAGGCAGCTCTCAAGGCATGTGCCGCATTCGCCAGGGACTTCGGACCCTTCCTCAGCAAGCAACCCGAAGCGCCGGCACGTTTGCGAAAGCTTGAGGCAGATCATGCAGAAGTGATTCGCAAGCTGGCACCCTGCCGTGCACTTCCTGGTGTGTCCTCGGCACAGTCGCCGCAGCAGCAGGCGCCCCTGCAACTTCCACAGCAGTCTCCAAAGCAGCTTCCACAGCAGCCGCCACAGCAGCCGCAGCCACAGCAGCCGCCGCCCGACCCACGGCCGAAGCCAGCATCTCAATCGCCACATCGGCAGCAGCAGGAGGCGGCGCAGCCAGCACAGAAGGAACCGCCCGCGCAGAGATCGCAGCAAGAGCAGCTACATCAGGACCAATCAGACGAGCAGCCAGCAGCGGCACAGCCGCAGGAGTCCCAGATTTCTGGACAAGGCGAGCAGCTGCCGGCCCGGCACGCGCAGCCTCTTCAGGAGAACAAGAGCCCGTCAGAGTTGGGGGCGGAACAGCCTCCACCAGCGGCAGATACAATTGGTGGAACTGTGCGAACCGCAGCTCCGGAATCTGTCGAAGGGGATACTGGACCGGCACCCTGAGCAACTAGGAACATAGACATGCTCTTTCCTTGTTGCTGGACGAGAGACGTGCTCTCGGTGGGCTTCGCGTAGACGACAAAGGCGATCAGCCTATCTTCGAGAGGCGAACGACACCCCGGCGGAAGAATCTCGTGACGACAATCGCAATGCGGGATGACGCGACAAGCTCGAAGTACTCTTTGCCCAGGCTCGATGAAGTAGCCAATGCCATGTGCAGGGTCTTCCCTGCCGGTACAACATGGAACCCGGCTGAAACCCACTAAAAATCCCTGGAGACATCCCGAAGTGGATGTGACCATACTCTGTCAGTTCAGAAAAAAGATGAAAAAAGGCAGCTTTCATTAGTAGAGGTGCGGGATGCGCGGAGGGCGGGGGACAGCTTGTTGCAAGATTGTAAACGTCTCTCGCTGGCGGCTCAATGGGAAGCTGAGCTTTCTATTCATGGGTGCTGGGTCCCCATGCCTGCGCGAGCCATATCCTGTTCAGACCTCAACTGTCACAGCTGTGACTCTTCGTACGAGGCGGACTGAAGCCGAGGTGGCGCCTTGGAGCAGCCAGCCACCGAACCGGAGCCTGAAGGGCGCGGGGATGAGTGGCAGCTGGAAGATGAAGGCAGCGCAGAGGCCAGCGCCACGTTTCGGGGCCGTTCATCGACGGTAAACCTACAAGTGCACCGGCTCGCAGCAAGGAGGAGATGAAGTCGCGATCTGAGGCCACGGCGTGTGCCGATTTGCTGCACTCTGGATTCGTCGTGTGAATTCGTGGAGGCTAGGCAGCCCCACATTCCTGAACCAGGGAAGATTCAGGAGACTTGGATTTGCGACCTTTGCTCTTGCGCGGCTATTCGTCTGTCGGTCTTGCAGGATGCCTTGAGCGAATCCCAGATCGACAGGATGAGTTTGGTTCAGGTGCAGCTTGTAAGGACCCGCAGAGTTGGCATGGAGAGACCCTTTGTGTATGCATATTATGCATGTTGCATGCACGGACTCGGCTGTCCACTGCGAGAGCCTCGTGCACGCAGGTGTTGCCTGAACAAGATGGAAATGCAGCCTCAAGGCACAGTGGCTTCACCGTCTCTCTGTAGCAAGATCGAACTCCGGTGCATCACGGACCTTCCGAAGACACCAGGTTTTCAGTGGCAGCCGTGCGAGAAGGCTCCTGGACTGAGTGGTTCAGGTCAGCAGGCACTCTTAAGTCGACAAATGATCCGATTTGGGCAAGGTGCCTGTCGACTGATGCGCTTTCAGTCTCCGTGGGCAAGGGCCCTGGGCTTTTCGTCCAGCTTCCTAACAGAGCGAGGAAGTGAAACAGGAAGGCTTTCGCCCAGCTGCATCGGCTCGAGTCGGCTAGGGCTTAGGGCGAGCCGCCCTTGGGCTTGGGGTCTTGGGGATGTTGGTGCGCTTGGGGGTTCTCTGGCTTGCGGCCTTGGCCCTGAGCCTCGCCGGCTGCTTCTTCCTGGGCTCCCTCCACAGGCCCGGCCTTTCCAGGCCTGGAGGCAGAGCTCTGTTGGCTTTGTCTGTAGGTACGGTAGCCACAGCCAGCTGCAGATCGCCGCGGCCCTTTTCTGCAGCTTGGTTCTGGCCACTTGGGCAGCGGCGGAGGCACCTCGCAGACGAAAGGGGTTTGGATTCCACCAGCCCTAAGCTGTAAACTCCAGGCATCCTCCTACTTGCGACAGCATCCGACGGCGGAAGGCTACGTGGCTTGGCAGCAAGCGGCGGCACACGAGTGCCGGACAGACCCAACCATCTCTGTTCATGAAATGAGGATGTCGCAGCTCAGAATGATCCATGCGAGCCCCCAGCAGAACGTGTCGGAGTGGCAGACGCTGACCAGGTGTCGGCTTTGGGACTGCAATCTTGATGCACGGAACCCCACAATCAGACTGCCACGACGCGCGCGCACGCGCGCGAACGTGCTTTCCACTCTTAACTTCCGCACATGGCGCAGCTCGGTTTGGTCTGCCCTTGGAGACAGCCAACTGCCAAATCCTGCAGTAGCGGAAGCGCGCACGCACAACCTCATGATTGCTGTAGCTTCTTTTTTGTACATGCTAGTTCGCAGGCGGCAGGCCTGCTTTCTCATGCGTCCAACCTGCTCTCAGTCTATCTCTCTCTCTCTCTCTCTCTCCGTCTCTCTATCTATGTATCTATACATATATACATATAAATTTAATAAATAAATAAATAAATACATAAATAAACAAATAAATAAATAAATATATATATATATATATGTAACTATGTATCTCTCTCTCTCTCCCTCTGTCTGTCTCTCCACAAAATCTGAGATGGTGGGCTTGCCATGGCTTGCCTAAGAAGGGTCGTGAAGCGAGTGTTTCTCAAGCTAATTGCACTTGAACATCGACAAACCATTCCCAGATCAACGCCGGAGACGAGAAAGATGTGGAGATGGCCAACCTCACGGAGGCCTCCATGGCGAAGGCCTCAAACGCTCGGCTCCGTATGTTTTGAGCTGTCATGTCGAAGAGGCAAAGTCTCCACAAACCCGACCAGCACTGGATCTGCACATTCAACAAAGCACGGTATGTGACAGACGGCGATCCAGGAGAGACGAAACGCGTCCCTCGTCATCACTGCAGAACATGTGTTTTGTTAGGCTTGTAGCAAGGCAGTCTTGCTTCGAGACGACTTACCAATTTTAACCCGCTGGCGTTCACAGTGAATTCTGTGCCAGGGTCTTCCCAACCAGGACCTTCTTCCGGCACCACAGGCTGAATTCAGAAAGAATTGCCTGTTACGTTGTTACGTACAATGTGAGCTGAAGTGCGGATTCAATTCCGCTGCTTGAATTTCCGTCACTCGGTTCTCCAGCCCTGCGTAACTCCCTTTGAGCCTGGAAAAAACAGTTTCGGGTTTGGGAACTGTCTAGTCTAAGAAAGCCCTTAAACAAAAGCGTTAACCCCTCGAAGCCATATGGAGTCTGTAGGTCCTGAGCCATTAGGCATTCAGTTCAAAACCCTGCATACATTCTATGACCTTACCGATCTCATGACCTCTGCGCCTGAGTCCCTAGGTCTGGCTTAGGAGTCAGCAGTCGGTCCTACGAGCCGGGGCCGAAATGTCTGCAACTCGTCCTTGCATATCCTTGCATTTGGGTTCGTTGAATCGGTGTTTCGGGTTCAGGGATCTGATTCGTTGCCCTGAGAGGTAATCCTGGGACTTCTGTATCTGTGCGATCGTACGGAAGTGCTGCCGGAAGCCGAGAAAGTTCGAGATCCCCGCCAATTCTGGGCTGTTTGGGCCGCGATCGTGGTGGCATCTTTGTTTACAGTCCGCAAAGGCAAGGACTCTGCTCCCTTGTCGCGGGAGCAAACAGACGAATGGAAAGGTTGGATGCAGATCATGTTTCTAATGCGCCAAGTCTGAATCCCGTGTCAGCTTGGGTTCACACCAAGCTAAGTGTGGCTACGACAGCAATACAACCACAACAACGACAACCACAACACTAACGACAACAACGACAGCGACAACGACAGCGACAACGACGACGACGACTACGACTAACGATACCGGCAACAACGACAACGACAGCAACAGCAACAGCAACAGCAACGGCAACGGCAACGGCAACGGCAACGGCAACGGCAACAGCAACAGCAACAGCAACAGCAACGAACAGGAACAGGAACAGGAACAGGAAAAGCAACAGCAACAGCAACAGCAACAGCAACAGGAACAGGAACAGGAACAGCAACAGCAACAGCAACAGCAACAGTAGCGGTTGCAACAACACAAGGAAGGCTCGTATGTCCACAGTAACAATAGTGTTATCGCAATAATACTGCAAACAGCAAAACCATAGAAATAATAGCAGCAAAGCTACCACAAATAGCAGCTTTTAATAATACAGGACAGTAGAAACAATAATAGCTACAATAACGAATTCACTCTATCAACAACAACAAAAACACTGCATAACCGTAGTCACAATAATCACAAGAGTAATGGTAGCGACACCGGCAGCAACTACGAGAACGACAACACTCACATTGACCCTTATATTAACACTAGCGATGATGCTTATGCTGTCAATAACAGAACTACCATCAGCAACGCTGCAACACTACAGCGACGGCAACGGCAACAGCAACAGCTACAACAGTAACGTCGAATTCCTAATAGCAATGGTTTTGCTAATGATTACAGCAAGAATAGAGATGATACCAACAACATGTTGTTTCTACTTGTCAGGTATCACTACTTCGAAGAGAAGGAGGTTTACAATGCGATCCGTGTGTACATTGCTGCATATGTCTGGATGACAGGGTATGGCAACTTCTTTCTGTACCGCAAGGGAAAGAGCTATACCATTCGACGCACGCTTCAGATGCTTTTTAGATTAAACTTTTTGGGCTTTGCAGTATGCACTGTCTTGGGGAATGAGTATATGCTGTACTACATCTGCGCGATGCACACTATCTTCACGGTATTCGTGCTGCTTGCCATGTACATTGGACATACCCTGAACACCTCTGCAACTGTCCTTTGGGTAAAGATTGTGTTGACATTTGCATTGACTTTATTCCTGTATGATGGGCCGGACGTAATATTTAGATTGGTTTTCGGCACACTGCCCGGAGTCAGACCGCTTTTCGCGTTTCACGATCCCCTACATCCCGAATTCACAGACGAGATGCATGAGTTCCACTTCAGATCCGGCCTCGACCGTTTCATATGGATTGTCGGCATGGTGTTTGCATTGCATTACGAGCATGCTGCCGCCTTTTTGCAGAAGTTGGAGAAGGATTCATGGCCAAAGCAAGCTGTGGTCCGATCGGGGATGATCCTGGTTTCGGCCTGTGCTGGAATGGCCTGGTGGCATTTTGCTTTCCGCTTGCCAAAACTTGAGTACAACAAGATCCACCCTTACACGTCCGGCTCTCAGTTGCGTCAGAGTCTGACTCTCAGTCCTCGAAGTGTTCATGACATTTCAGGACATCATGACAGGAACAGAGTATTTCGTTCGAGGTCATTCGTGCCTCTGACCATCTATCTCTTGGTCCGAAACTTGACACCAACTTTGCGTGAGTACCACTTGCACCTCTTCGCATACATGGGGAGGGTGACCCTGGAAACCTACATCTTCCAGTTCCACATCTGGATGCGTACCACAGGTCTCAACGGATCGCCGAAGAAGCTTCTGGCAGTGATACCGGGATACTTCTGGCCGAATTTGGTTATAGTGTCGGGATTGTATCTATTTGTCTCAATCAGGTTCTCGCACCTGACGGGAGTCCTTCGAGATGAGCTCATCCCAGAAAGCCTTCAGACTTTGCGCAAGACTTGGGTCGGCTTGCTGGGTGTTTCACTGATGTGCTGGACAGGGGCCGGGCTTTGCAAAGCTTGAAGTCTGGAGCCCCGGTAGACCTCCAGATGCATTCGTGCTCCTCCAAAACAAGGTCCCGTTCCAACGGGATGATCTCATTTTCCCTTGTGTTTTGTTTGTCTTGACATGTTCGGACGGATGTCGTTTGAGTGGCAGAACCTTAGGTGCTTGAGCTCGGTGCCTGATGCTATTCGGAATCCGCCCAGTTTCCGCAAGAAGGCATAACTTGTTTTGAGCCTGTGGGCTTGTTCGCTGATTCCGGCACAGAGAGCCGACGGCCTGTTCTCCTGCTCTGCTCCTTCCTTATGCTACATGTTCTCTCGAATTGGGTCTCTCGCAAGACTTCCTCTGTTGTATGCTCTCCGCTCAAAACAGTAGCGAGGCACTTCCCAGCCCGTGTCGTTGTTGTAGCAGCTTGCAAAGAGACTGTGGGAAAGGCATACACAAAGGATTCGCAAGAACAGGGGGTTAACGACCAACATATGCCATAAACGCAGTGTCTGGGGTAAACAGGACTACTTACTTCCAGAAACTGGAAAGCCATAAGCAAAGTGTGCCACAGGAAGAGAAGTGGTTTAAAGGACATGTCATGTCTTGTCGCGCAAAGCGCCGTTTTAACCTCATTTTATCCAGGGCTGGCTGGGGAGCTGCGGCGAAGTCTAATGTCTAATTGGGCCATCTCTCAGCTTCCGATCTTTTGCGTTCGTGTGAGCTGTGTGACGTGTTCGATGCCGACGAAGACGAGCTGTGAAGCTTTGCCGAGCAGACTGCAGCTTGAGAACGCCACCGCGCATTTGTCGAGCGGTCGACTGTTGACGGGTGATCCGGGTGATCCCGGCAGGGAGTGTTTAAAATGCTGAGCTCTGTGGCTCGCCTGTTCACACATTGCACGTCCACGAGGAACATGATGAGTCTCTCGAAGTACAACTTGCAGTGGAGCAGTGGCCTTTAAGGATCAGGCGGTGGACTCCTCGCAGGGCAGACAAACAGGGGAAGGCCTTCCTTGCTCGCTACAAGTTTCGGAGACTTGCGTGCGTCGGTGATGTATGCGAGGAGACCTCCTTGTCAGTGACGAGAGGCAGGAGATGGTGGTAGTTGGGAAGTTGGCCGCGAGATCTGTGCTGGCAGTATCCTGGCGGGGTCTCAGCCATCCGGCGATCTGGTCGGGCCCCCGATGCGGTACTTTGCAGTCTCAGAAGCTCTGACAGAAGTAGCACCGCATAGCACGGAAGGTAAGCGCCGGCTTGGACTCCTGGCAGGCCTTAGCCGCCTTGGCCGCCTTGGCTTTGGATGCAGCAATCTCAAACTCAAGCTCATTGCAGGTCGTGGACACAGAGGGCCTGGTTGTGGCAGAGGATGATGTGGCGGGCCTCCAAGTCTCCGAGTTGAGTGCACGGCATAGTCAATGATCCGCGGGGTTGCAGAGTAACAGGCAAGCTGTGCTTCGGTACACCTGAACTAATATGCTGGTGCTTCAAGGTCGACGCGTTACAGACGGGGAGGGGTTCCGTGGAGGCTGCACTTCCGTATGATCAGTGCCAGATATCGATGAGTTTGGAAGAGGCCAAAATGGAGCGGATGCTTACGTGGATGTTGGCTCCGGCTGTCCATGGTATACCCGTCAGCCTCGCACGTGATTTCTACGTCTTCTGCAGCCATCAAGTGTGAAATCGACGCTCTGTCAGAAGCTGGGTGTACTTCCTGCTGAAGAGAGAGCAGCCGAATTGCTGTGCCAGCCCAGATCTCGGCTTGTGGTGTTGGTGAGATTGGCCGACGAATGTATCCAAGTTTGAGGCATGACCGTGAGGTGGAGGCCGCGGTGCGCGAGGCATCTGGGCATCTGAACATCAGTGTATTGCGCATTTCTGCCTTGCTGCAGGTTGTCGCAGGCTCAGAGAGGCGCGGAGAGAACCGATCTCGACTACTGCGTTTCGACGGGAGCATTCTGCCAGGTCCGTCTCCACCGTTGTGCTGAACTTCTGCCTTGAGAGGATTCCAGTGCTGGGCTGCCCGACGGCTCTGCACCCAGTTCTCCCAACTCTCCCAGCTCTCAGCATCTCTCTGCAATGTTTGGCATCTCCTTGGTTGTATCTTTCAAGTCCCTGACTGTGACACGTCCTTTTCTGCCCGTAATGCTCTTGAAGCCTTCGTTCCTGGTTTCGTTGCAGGTTGGAGTAGCGCAGCTAGTCGGCAAAAAGCCGCGAGATGACATCACACATGTTTCGAAGAATTCACAAACTCGCTTTTCTCGTCTCCAGTCGCCCGGAACCCCCCCCCCCCCCCCCTCCCAGGACCGGACGAGGGACCCGAAACCAGCAGCCCGCAAACCCCGAAGCCCAGACCGGCTCGGGCCCCTTGCTGCAAGAAAAACCAGGAACCCGCAACAGGGACCCGAACCCGGGCCGGGATCCGGGACGCATGGCCCGGGCGGTTTGGTGGAAGAAAAGCGGACTTGGAGCAGTACTGTAGTTGTTGTACTGTTCTTATGTTGTTGTACATATGGCTGTCGCTGGAGTCACCTTAGTCACTTCGCAAAGGTATCTGTAGCAGTTATCATGGCATTGCAGCGTGGCCTTTCGGGCTGTCGCCCTAGGTTCTGCTTCGGACAACTTGGGGCGAAGTGCTCGGATAGTGCATCGCAAGCTCAGCTGGTGTGTGTGTGTGTGTGTATGTGTGCACATGGGCATGTGGGCATTGCCTGAGGCAACCTTCGCAGCATTCTCATCGTGGCTGCAATGTATGGCTGCTGTTCTGCACAAGTTGAAGAGGGGTTGCACCACCGTCTGAGACACCTAAGTCTACGTCCCAGGACATGACCTTGAATCAGCTCGCGTCCAACACGAGGTGCATATTAGAAACAACATGCTGTCAGATGCTGTCAGCTGCACAGCCGCTTGCCGCTGGCAGGCCTTGCTCTGCTTGGTCCCTCCGGGAGATGACAAGGCAAGCTGTTGCTCGCGGTCTGATCGGAAAGCCGTAGCCGCTGGCAGACTGCTTTTGCCAGGATTCGTGCGCAGCTGCTCTGAAGCAGCAGACCGTGACATCCTCATCTGGACAGTGTCGGAGCACAGTCATGAGCGAAGCTCCTATGATGGCAAGGCATCGGACCTGAATCCATCCACACTGGTATCTGCAACGGCTCAGCAGGCAGGCAGAGCGGTGCTCGGTGTGCACCCCGCAAGCAGCACTCTTGCAGGTGGCACGCTTTATGATTCGCGGGGCATTGAGACGCGCCACGTTCTCAGCGGCTACAATCAGCCATAATCAGCCCTTCCAACCTGTTTCGCATCCCTCGCAAGCCTAGGCCACTGGCCTTCAAGCAGCCGTGGACTGTTTCGAGCTGGCATCTCTTCTGCTTGCCTCTCAGGCAGCCGTCAAACCATCCAGAATTTCTTTGTGATTAAGAGAGTTTCTTTGATGCAGAAATTCGCAGAATTTACGTCGCAAACGCGGGACCACACTGTGTTGGGGCACCGAGGTACAGCAGCTGTGGAAATGATGCTTTGGACGAGGCGAGGTTCCTGCGAAACGGGATGTCGTGGACGTGACGGGCACTAGCAGGATGGATTTGTCCACGTCACAGCTACACCAGCATCTGCCGCACGGGATTTCTTTCGCCACGAGCTCGGTCACCACTTGTTCTTCTGCAATCTGCTCCGTGCTCTTGGATTGCCGGACAGAAGTGCCAACCGGGCACCCAACCATGGAACTATTGACGAAGTTTCCATCATAACTTCAGCCAAGACTTTGAGCTAGTTTCGAGAAGACCGGCAGCTCCGAACGTGTTTCTGAGAGTGGGACCTTAGAATTTTTCGATGGCTTTTTAAGTGAGGGATCTGTGAATCAGAACAATCCCCGAAGTGTGTCTGCTGGTGGTGGGTGTGTCAGTGGAGTCTCAGCCGCGGCTACTTCTTGCTTGAAGTCTTTAGCCCTCGAAGACATGGGTGTGCCACTCGTTTCGATTTCTCTGAGAACGGGCAGAAGAGCTGTGGCGTTGGGTCAGTGAGAGCGAGGAAGCCTCTGTTGCAGCCGCCTTTGACGGTCTGGCCCTGCAGAATCGTCACTGGCAGCTGCCTTCTGCACTGGTGGTCGGAATGACCAGCACAGAAGTAAGAATGATGTTTTGTAGAATGAAAGACAGAACGATAAAGAGTAGTGAGGAGCTGAAGGGTAAGAGCTCGCACACACGATCGGTCTGCAATGGCTTTTGTCCCGCACTATGCTGAAAGCTCACATCGGGCCTCGAGCCCGCCTTTGCGGAGTGAAAGCGCACGTGTGCGACATCTCAGCGGACACAGCAACTGCACCTGCACATTTCAACACCGGTGAAACTTCTTTCTTGAATTGCCGGGAGTCGTCTCGGAAATTGCCATCAAGCACTGCTTGCGCTGCTTTTGCCAGGCTCTTTTCTTCTTGGCTGAAACAAACTTTTCATCAAACTGAATACTGATCTGGTCCTTTTGAAAAGCCATGAGCAAGCCGTTGTAGGTGAATGGCTTTGATAATCCATCGGCAAGCTGTTGATCCGCATCAACCCATCTGAAATTAGCCCCAATAGCCTGAATCCTTTCTCTGATGGATAAAACCTCCAACGCCAACCTTCTCTCCTCAAGCCGAAGCCCGCTGGTCTCAACCCTCATCACCGAATCGAACAAGTTCCTACTGTCCGTAACAACAACCGAAGGAATCTGCCTCAAAGCCTCGTCCATATCCCGAACCGGAATCGAATCCGAATTAAACCAATCAACCAGAACCTGTTTGGTAAATTCATGAGAGTCAATGGCATGACTACCTGTCTGAATCTCAGCAGCCGTGGAGCTTCGACAAATCCGGGGAAGCTTCCTACTCTGCCAGGCCATGGGCGAATACCTGCTGCTCTTTCCTTCAAGGGTACTTTGGTCAACAAGCATCGTCAGCAGTCCTCCTTGTGAAGACCCGTCTCTCCTACAAGCATATGAAGCATCATGATAAGTCAACAGAACTGGTCTCTGAATATCAGAACTAAAATGAATCGAACTTTGACTCAGAACCCTTTGGAGTCGAATCAGCTTGTTGGCTTGAATCAAGTGATCTACAGTAGCATCCTTGAAGCAGCCTTGAAGATATGACACGCTAGCACACAACCAGGGCGCAGATTGTGTTGCTCGCCATGACCGGGCACCCAAAGCAGCTCTTAAGAGCTTGCGCTCTCCTTCGCTAACTGGCTCCTCGCCCTGATCGCGTCGCTCGCGAGTCATCGGAATTTCAACCAGACCCTTGCGTAGCGCTCTTGGTTCAACTCGATTGATGAATCACCGTTTTGTTTGATCTCACAACCACAGAACATGGTACTCTCTTCTTGCAAATCCTTCCATGAACCAAAAGGAAAGCTGCTCCGAAGGGCCTCGATGCGGTCCTGAAAATGCTGTCCTGCTCCACAGCACAGCAGATCGTCCACGTGGATGCCTATCAGGCCTACTAGCTCGTTTCCTTGGTACAGCTTCCAAACACATGGTTCCAATCGTGATTGCTTCCATCCTTGTTTGGCCAGTTCTTTTCCTAGCTTGTCAGCCCACGCTCTTGGTGCGTGAAGAAGTCCATAGACAGCCTTCATGATCCGAAAGATTTCGTGATTCTTCATGTTCAACATACGACGCACTTCTTCAGGGGGTTCCGCAAAGATTTCTCGTTCAAACTCCGTTTTATCTCCATTCAGAAACGCGGTCTTAATGTCCCCGACATAAGCTTTCCAATGACGTTGGGCGCTCAAGGCCAGAAGCATGTTTCGGCTTTGGGTACTGAGAGTTGGGGAGTCTCGTTTCAACAGCAGCAGGTCAGGATCTTGATACCCCTTGATGATCAGTCTAGCTTTTGGTTTGCGATTGGTCACGTTCCAATGTCATCACACACATCCTTCCACGTGAGGACCCATCTCATGCCTAATATCCTCTCGGACGGCACGTTGTGACGTCTGGCAATCTCGACAGCTTCATGTTCAAGATACGAGCTCAATTCATTTTTCATCGCCTTCATAAAATCAAGTTTGTCACCTTCCTCCAGAGACCTAAACTGAACCTCAGCTCGTTTCTTAGGTTTCTCGTTTAAAACCCACTGTTGTTTGCCATACGCCTTCACCTTGTGCACATCACGAGGTTGAATGTCCAAGGCAATCTCAAACACTTCCGATTGATTCTCTAACGCCGTCGTAAAGTAGGACTGAACATCTCTAGTCACACCGGTCTGCCTCGGTGGAGGAAGCTCCTCCCACGATCCATCTGAAGACTGCCAGTCAAAACAGCCGGTCTGAATGCTCACACGCTTGGGAGACCTGGTGTTAGGGAACTCAGGGGCACTCTGGAAGTCCAAACTGTTACCCACGTCTTCTTCAGGGATACAATCAAGCTCCTCTTCAACATTCCAAATCATGTTTTCCTGAGCACTCATACGCAAACCTACTGGCGTCCTGCTCCTGGAGCGATTCACTCCAGCTTGGGAATCATACGAGCCTCGATTTGATCGAGGCGCTGACGCATTGCCTCCATCTGTTCTTGGAGGCCCATGCTCACGGACATGGCTTGGTAGAGGGCAGCCTGCTGCTGCTGGTTCACCTGTTCCAGCTGGCCCACCTGCGCGTTGAGGTACCTCACTCCCTCGCGCAGTGTCTCGATCATCGCCGTCACTGATCCGGGAAGCTCTCGGTCTGGACTCTGATTCCACACCTCTTCCCATTCGCTCATGGTCTCGGGATGCTTCGGCGTGTCGCCAGAACTCTTCGCGGACGATGTCTGGTATCCTGACGTCAGGCTGTAGTTGAAGCCCTCCTTGCGCGCTGCGTAACTCAAGAGGTTGATGAAGCTCATGTTGTCGGCCTGATGGTTCATAAGCCAGAGGACGTACTTCGTGTCCTTGGCCACTGTCTCCACCGTCTGTCCGACGAACTTGCCCTTGGTCATCTTCTCCTGACCGAGCTCCTCCAAATCCTTCTCGTTGCACCGCTTCTTCTCCATCGCGATGGAGTCCTGAGCCTTGGTCTGCTCCTCGGCTTGCGCCTTGAGCTTCAGGGCCTTCTGAAGCTCTTGATCCGTCTTGGCCATGATGCGGGGCTTGTTTACCGAAGATGCGTCTTTGGGGCACGGGGAATCTGCTACCTGAGCCAATCTCAACATCGTGGAGTTCTGAATCCTCAGGCTCTTCGCACAAATCTCGAAAAATATCACGATAGTTAGCTTTGTTACCCGCTTGTCTGACATCTTCAAGAACAGACGTGCTCCCATGAATGGTTTCATAAGTTAACTGCAGACTCTCCGGAACCGCTCTCAACTGTTCGGGGGCGCATCGATACAGAATCGTGGCGTGAACGACCCATATCACGGACCCTTGAGTTTGATTTCTGTCGCCGTCGCTTTGCTTCTCCACGGCAACTACGCGTGCAGGACCGTGCCACCCCGCCTCAAGTCGACTAGTGTTACGACCCTTCCTATAGAAATACACCAACTGACCCGTATTAAACACTTCAGATTTCCTAGCCTTTCCCCGGGCAGCACGAAGCACACGTCTCCGACTGTCAGCTTTCAAGAAGGTCCGACGAGCCAGGTCAGCTCGCTGCAGAGACTCTTCAAAAGTCTCATGTTCCCGAAGACTCTGAGTAGGTAGATGCATGCCATGCTGAAGATACGATTGTATCCTATCCTTCCCTTGACCAAAACACCACTGATTAGGACTGTACCCAGCAACATTGTGAAGTTCATTTTTGGCAGCAACGCTCATCCCCAGAATCTCTGACGCACCAACCTCCGGACCCAGCTCAAGAGCTAAAAGGGACATGTTCTCTTTCAGAACCTCAAGATGACGTGAATGCTTACCGACTTGCCAAGCTGCTTCTCCTGCAATGACATTGACTCTGATGACTTGACTCTCAAGCCACTCTATCGTTCGGGCGTCACGGAACGCGCCTTCATCATCGAAGCGCAGGTTTTCAGGCTTCGGGAGATTCCTGAGCCAATCCTGACAAAACGTTTGTTTGAACTCTTGAGAACTGATGACACGTTGAGTGTGCTTTCCGCTACGAACGATGGAGGCAACATGAAAGTCACTAGCTTAATCCATGAACGATAACCCAACGACATGTTCTTTTGGGTTGCCAGTCTCATCCTTATGAGGGGAATGCCACCAAAACGTGTCGACACTCACAACTTGCCACTTTCGAGTCGCTACAGGAATCTGTGAGGTCCGATGAGGCTTGGCATGTCCTCTTTGAGCACATGGAATGCACTCGAACTCTGATGCCATCTGAAGCACCTCCTGTGATGCTCCGGCTTCTTTCAAGATTCTGACTAGAGCTTGGTTTGAGGGATGGCCTAAGTTCGCGTGTATGGTTTTGAGTTTCTGTTTGATTTTCTGAGGGTCCCAGGGATTTGAGGCTTCGGGTTGTTCGGGGCTTTCCTGATGAAGTGATGAGTTACTGCTGGAAGGGGTTTGTCCTACCGCGGCAGAAGCATCATCATCACCATCACCTGTTCTTTCGTCTTGACCGCGACTTTCTTCTGAAGTCTCGGTGTCCTGGGCGGTTGACGCATACACCTGGTTCTTCATCAATGCCTTAGCAAATGCTTTGCACAACAGAGGTGGATACGTCGCAGTGGCGGCAACCTCGGATCCCGTAAGGGCAGCATGCTTTTGATTTCCATGATCACACGTCTTCTGAAGAGCTTCAATGACTTCGGGCATGCTACTAAACCAACCCCACGGTTTCTGAATTGGCAATCCACTACGTTCAGACTTCATCCCAAATCGACAACCATCGCACCTAATCTTAGTTGACCCACAAAGTTTCAGCATCTGCCGCATGGCGGGTTCCTTCCACGAGTATGCCCGAAGTGGCTGCTCGCCACCGGCGTGACCGCGTGGGCAGTCATTCCCATAACCTGACTGTCCACAGAGTTCCTGGCGCTGCACCTGAACTACTTTCAGGCAGTTCTTTAGGATCAGGCGTCCATGAGCACGTTTCTCAGCAAGCTTTAGGATTTGGGCAGGTGTTCTCTGCTGGGCATTCGTAAGTGTTGTCCAAGGATCACAGGGCGGAGAGACATGAACATACCGAGGGCGAAGTCTTCGCAACGTAGCCAGTGCCTTAGTAAGACCAGCCTTAGTCGCAAGGTCGTATCCGTTATGGATTCCCATACGGTAGGCTCTACCTCCTAGCTTCTCAACCGCCGCGCTCAAGGGAGAATCCCAAGGACAACAAACCTCAACCAAATCCCACTGAAGACCCGTTAACCCTTGAAGTGCATTGGCAAACTGGTCTTCCTGTTGTTGAAGGCTTTGTTTCAAGAGTTCCTGTTGAGCCTGTTCAAGATGATACACCGTGTCATCGGCACCTGATCCGAAAAACGACTCCGGGCGGTGAATCAAGTCTTCGGAACTCGACTCACTTAAAACATTAACAGCTGGACTCTGACCCGTCTCTAAGGTCGGGGGTCCACTCAAGCTGGACT